ATGCCTTTTTAACGTAACTCGGAGACTTTCAACAAGTCTGTTTTCTATGTCCATCTCCACTTCAGTCCAAGTGTATTCATTTTTAATATATAAGGCAACATCTCCTCCCTTTTTTCCTTGACTATCCTTCCTGAGCAAGCTGTATCCTTCCATACCAATATTCCAGTCGTGTATTATCCCACCAAGTCTCTGTGATACCAACGATGTCATAGTTATGTTTATTTACTAGTACTTCAGGTTCTTCCTGCTTATTCCCCTTTACTTCTTGCATTTGTATAAATACTGATTTGATTTTTATTTGATTTTGCTCCCAAGTTTTGCCTTCTCCCACCTTTATCTCTGCTATTATAGCCCATGCTCCCTCCCACGTCTGACTCATCTCCCAGGTCTTCATGTTTTTCCACTTACTTGTGGGCTTCAGTTCCCTGCACCTGTTGAACCTAATTTAAAGCCCTGCTCACTAGGTTAGCCAGTCTGTGTCCAAATACAGTTTTCCCCTTCCTCGAAAGATGACCCCTATCCCTGCTTAATAGTCCTTCTTCTTGGAACAGCATCCTGTAGTCAAGAAAGCCAACCAGGAATTCATTTTTAGGATGGACCTGTGTCTGTTTGGGCCCTGACCTTTGACAGGAAGGACTGAAGAGAATACGACCTGTGCTCCAAACTCCTTCACCCGTATTCTCAGAGCATGGGCTACTAGACAGAGAGCTGGATAATCCTCAGCAATGCCTCAGTAGTGTCTCGGATACAGGCCCCTGGCAGGCAGCATATCTCCTGAGATGTCATCTCAGGGCAACAGATGGGCGCCTCCGTCCCCCTCAGAATGGAGTTTCCAACCACCACTACCTACTTTTCCTCCTCATAGTGGTAGCTGTAGACCTCCCAGCACTGGGGGTACAAGGCTTCTCTTCTGCTTTAGGAGATGATTCCTTATCTCCTGTACCCAAATCAGCATAACAATTCTCCAGTACCACAGTGGGAGGGTTGGGATCAGGAATGAAGCACTGCCTGCTGCTAGAAGTGACCAGCTGCCAGTATCGCCCCTGAGACAGAGCCATCTCCTCCTCCACCAATGATGTGTCAGCAGTCTTTTGTAATCGGGTAGACCAGTGATTCCCAAACTTTTCAGCAACACCCCTCCCTTTTTGATTTTTGAAAAACCCTCACGCCTCCTCCACCCCCCACCCCCAAAATAGCAGCAAAACTTGTTGAGCAAAAAAAAAGAAAAGAAAGGAAAAAGAAAAGAACTGATTGGGGCAGCAAAACTTAATGGGGGGGGGGGCAGGATGCCTGGTGCCCCCTCCCAGAATTTCTTCATGCCCCCCCAGTTGCTTAATGGGGGAGGGGAGGGCAAGATGCCTCATGCCCCCTCCCAGAATTTCTTCATGCCCCCCCAGTTTGGGAACCCATGGGGTAGCCCATTATGCTCATTCTACAGTATAACTGTTCCTCCTATCAGACCCCTCCGTTTCCATTTTATGAGAAACAATTGAACTCCAGACACACTCCATTGTCCTGGCACAACCAAATCCTTACCTTGCTTCAAGTTATGATAAGAGGAAGCTGCATACCAAATTTGGTGGTCATGGCTCTTGCCATAAAATTCTTGAATATATTGACACAGACAAATGGATGGACGGACACAAAGTCAGACAAAGCTTCTATAACATGTAGTAGAAAGTAGATAATATGGGATACAGATATTATAAGTTGGATCACTACATGGAGCATCCTACACACATCCTATAAAGTCTAAACACATTGTTATAACTGCAATATCTATTTTAACTCTACCAGCACAAGGGTTACCAGACTATTCTCCATCTATGCATTTTTCAGAGAGACATAGTGGCTTGGCATGAGCTGGCACCTGAGCTCCCAGCCTCACACTGCCTTCCTAACTCTAGTCCAGGGCCAGTACACTATCATATGCCATGATGCCTATAGAGAAATTAATAATGATTAAGCTGCTGATGTTCTGACACCGATGTGTCAGAATATATTGTGCATCTTACACATGCAAATTCCCGGCTGAGCAGTTCTCTTCTGTGATAATGTTTAGTGTCTGAGTGCAGCTGGAAAACACAGTGCAAATGACAGTGTAATATGCCAAGGAACTTCATCGCTTTCTAATTGAAATTAATTAAAAAATAAACCACCATGTGTGTTGCATAACAGAAGAGACTGCTTCCCTTACCATTACAGCAACTGCTCCTAGATGTAATGATTTCAAACAAAGGGAAAGCAATCTCAAAGGCTTACAAACCAGACAAAATTAACCCACTTTCTATTGTCTAAAATGTAATTGTAGCAAGATGCAGGTTGACCTAATGTAGTTTCTTACCACTCCCAAGCTGTCATCAGGATACAGGTTGTTTAACAGGACAAGCCATGTAGAGACTTCAACAGATAATATTGGAGAGGACTCACAATTTCCCATTCAGCAGACAGATATTTCACATTGATATTAGTGACCAGTGTGGCGATCATTTTCCAGTGATACATTACAGGACACTTTTAAATAAATATCATGACAACCACGTGTGAAATGTATTGAGCTGGTCAGACCACCTGAGATTAGTTTTGTACCAGGGATCCCCTTGCTGTCTGGCATTAGGGTGCTTAACAAGGATCTTTATTGGGCTACATCTCCACTGTAGCCTTCTTGCAGAAAAGCTTATGCAAAGGAAAGTCGGCGTGGAATATCGCCACACTTCATTTGCATAATTAATGAGCAGCCATTTTTGCACAAAAGGCCTTTGAGCAAAAAAGAACTGTGTAGACGGCTCCTTTTTGCACAAAGACCCCCTCTTGCACAAGAGCCGTTCTTCCTCATTTTTTGATATTCCACTTCGAACTTCATTTACATAAGCTTTTCTGCAAGAAGGCTATAGTGTAGACATAGGCTTAGATTGCTGGAAAGCAGGCAATTATTCATTTTCAGTTTGGCCCTTGTAGTAAGATTGAGGGCTTCGGTTTAGACAGAAGTGGTCAATACTTTGCTAATATAAAGAAATGTGAAGCTGTAAGCAAGAGGCAGGACCCTGATCATAGAAGTTGGCAAAAACAGGGCTGATATTACAGAAATACTCATACCTAAGAGGTACTAGTCACAGGCCAGAGGGGCGTTAACTAGTGTTCTCTCTAACATTTTCTGTTCTTGGGTGAATTGAATTTTCTTTTGGGCAGGTTGAACTTTCTTATGTGCAACGCCAATATTGAGGTAGTGTATGGATGTGCACTATCAATACAAACAAAACACACACACACCCCAAAACTCAAAAAGTAGAAGCCCCAGAACAAATTAATACATGGCTACTGGGTTTATAGACAGATGAATGTTTCAAAGAGCTTGCAATTAAGGTTTCATCCTACAAAACAACAAGCATCATACCTACTTCTGACTCCTAAGAGCTGGAACTCTACCACATATAGCATCTATTAATTAGTAACACAGTATTTTTTAAAAAATCATCAGTTTTAGATATTTGCAACACTCCAAAAAACTTCTGTTAAAGAATCTTTTTATTTTTTACTTTAAGCCATTAACATGATTTGAAATGTAATCATGCAAATGTCCTCCTGGCACACACACACCCCAGCCAGACAGAGAGGACTGCAGCAAGTGAGTCAGACAGCCCAAGCAAACTGCCCCCCACCTCCACCTCACTGCATAGATGTCAGCAACAAACTGCCCCCCCCCCACCTTCACCTCACTGCATAGATGTCAGCACCAACCCAACCCCTCTTTCTCCCACCTACTCCTGCACCATCTGCTCCCCTCCCCCTCACCCCCTTCCTCCTGGTGGGGTCTGGGATAAAATCCAGCTTCTCAAACTAGCAGACACCAGCAGTCGCTCCTGTCCTAACTCCCAGCTAAAGCACAAATTATCCACACCTCTCTCAGCTCACAGCACAAACTCCCTCCTGCCTCCGCCTCGCCCCAATGCCATCACCCACCCACCCCACTTCCTCCCACCAATCCCATTCAGTAAGCCCCTTATTTCCCCCTTTCCAGGAGGCTTGAGAGTGCTGAGCTTCTGCTTCTCTCTCCTCATGCAAATGGGACTCTTTGAACTCCCCTCCCCTCTGACTTCCCCCCCCAGCCAATTAATTACTTACTTTCTGCCTCACTTCCTCCCTCTCCTACTCTCTCCTCCTCCCCAAATCACTTATTCCCTCCTTATCTCACTTTTTACCTGCTCTAGTTTCAAGCACAGAGCAGCTCCATTAAGTTGCTTGCTTAGCAAGACAATACCCTGTCAGTCAACTGAGCTCCCTGCGTTTGTGGGAGCTTTAAACTTCTGAGCAGAGTTCAGAAAACAGCTGCTCAGTCATGCAGCTGCACGGCTTTCAGAGAACCTTGGTAATAACAGAACACCTCATTAAGAAACATCTCGGTACCGACACACACCTCATAGATAACAGGAACATATTGATCCAAGTTCAGGACAGGGTCTAAACTGACAGCATGATAGATAGTGATCATATCCCCATGTACAAGGTAATGGATGGTGTCTAGGTAACATTAGAGAATGGCAACCTGATACTTCAGGAGTGATGTGTAACTTGTTTGTACCTATATATAAAAATGCACCCCAAACAGTTGTTGTCCAACCGAGGGAGCAGTGTCTCACTCCTGGCACTGACTGAGTTGGTCCATTGTCAGGGGGAACATATGTAGTGGTTCAGTAGAGCCCACTGATAGCTATTACTGTACTTTGTTTGACAATGGATCTGGCCAGGCAGCTTCAATCCTTATCTGATTTGTGGTCTTTGGGGCTCTCTTGGAATCTGCTGTGGTGGCTATTTGTGCAAACCAGCAAGGCACACAAAAAAGCATATGAATGCAGCCAAATGATGGAGTAGGAGACCTCTCAGGACACCCACCGGTGATGCTTGACTACTACAGCCCTCAAAGGGATGGGATTCTCTTCAACCCCATATACTGTGTAAACAACAACAAAAATCCTTCCTCACCCAGGTTATAGAGTACTTACCTGAGGTGTTGGTGGCTCTTTGTCCTCCCTGCATAGATTCCTTTACTGTAAATGAACATTCAGCATATAACCATACCTAGTCACAGATTTTATTTTTGTTCTTTTAGGTCCAATGACATCAGTCTTTATCTGGATCAAACACTCTCCACTCCAATCTGATGTCATAGACACTTGCAGCATGAATTCCAAACCAAGAAACTTAGGTAGTTAAAATAGTTTATATTTTATTCTTGCTATTTTATACCCTTAACTATACAATTAGTTAAAGTAAAACTCAGCTTTTTTACTGTATTGCATGGTTTTAAAAATGTTTAACTTAAAGTATTTTTCCTGATCATTTCGATAATTAAATATGTAATAGTACATCTGTTAAAGTATTTTTCCTGATCATTTAGATAATTAAATATGTAATAGTACATCTGTTTGCATTTTAGACTATATAATTTCAGGTCATTTTTAAGAGGCATTGTTATGAAGTACTGTACTTCTCTTAAAGAAGATTCAAATCAGGGGAATTATATTTTGGAGGCATATTGTTAAATGCAGGAAACAGATTTGCAGGAGAAATTATTCTTCATATGTGAGATCAGTAAAGCTGACAATGTAGATAAACTACAAAAGAGCTGAATAAAAAGCAAAGACATTGGAAGCAGTAGATATGGCTTAACATTCATTTTTTTCTGTTCCTTTGTTTGTTATTTTCTTATTTAATAATTCTTATTTTTATCATCTTTTGGTTCCAGACGGTGTTTAGTCACGAGAAAAACCACTTCCAAGATTGCTGGGGAAACATGATATTTAAATACTGTCAATATTTTGTAGAAATGTACTCCCAAAGATCTCGAAGCATTTGAAACTTTCAAACTACCATAAGGCAATTGTGTAAGTTTGAGAGTGTCATTATGAGTTGCCATAATATTGGGATTGAAGAGTTGATTTCAGTTCTTTCATGTTTTGTTGGTGATCTTATTCCTTTTAAAGGATACGTCTACATTGTACTCTCTTGTGCAAGGACATATGCAAATGAGCACCACGCCCATTTGCATGCTTAATGAGCCACCATTTTGCGCAAGGGGCTTTTGTGGAAGAAGGAGCAGTCTACACTGTTCCTTCTTGCGCAAAAAACCCCTCTAGTGCGAGAGCCGTTCTGCCTAAAAATAAGCAGCAGAACTGCTCTTGCGCAAAAGGGGGTTTTGTGCAAGAAGGAGCAGTGTAGACTGTTCCTTCTTGCGCAAAAGCCCCTTATGGAAAATGGCGGCTCATTTGTATATGTTCTTGTGCAAGAGAGCACAATGTAGACATAGCTTTTCATAGCAGTTCACTACAGAATTTCTTGTCATGTTGCATATCCAGTGTGTAGTACTGTTCTTGGCTTTCTGTCTTTGGGACCTCCAGTATGCAGAAGGCATAGATGGTGGGTAATGTAGGCAAGGGAAGGTATTGCCTTCCCAAAACTTCCTACACTGGGCCTGCAGCATGGCTGTCTGGCTCCCCAGCTGCTTGGGACCGTGATGCAACAGCCCTGGCCTTCCGAATGGCTAGGAAGGATCAGGTTTGAGAGTTGGGATTGGGTGGGGCTTTGCTCAGCTGGGGTGGGGGAGAGGTTGCTGAAGGGGCATGGTCGAGATGGGAAGGCAGGGAGAGAAGAGTATGTGGCTTTGGGCAGAAGTGGCAGGACTTGGGCTTGCCTTCCCCGGATTGGCCTTCACTCGCTGCTCATGCCAGAAGGTTAGACATTTAGTAGGCAGTATTAAAAACAAAGTGGAGTAGAAATTGTGACATTTTATCCCCATCTGAGGACATAAAGAACTAGCCAATTAGCCCATCATAAGACGGGATTTTCAGGTCTCTCCTCCATGTCGGTCTTCTCTCCTGAGCCTCCGGTCTATTGCTCCATCTCTCTCTCTCTCTTTCTCCTCCTACTGACTCCTCCTCTCTCTCTCAGCTCTCCTCCAGCTTCTGCCTCTCTCTCCATCTCTCTCTTTCACTTCTCCCCCTCCTGCCTCTCACTCTCCCTTTCTCTTCTCCTCCTTCTTCTGCCTCTCACTCTCTCTCTCTGCTCCATCTCTCTCTTTCTCTTCTCACCCTCCTGCTTCTCACTCTCTCTCTCTCTGGTCTCCTCTGTCTCCGTCGGGGGTGCACGCTCATCCAGGCCCCGCCCCCTGGGCATGTACATCACAGCCCCACCCACCTTCACCTCCCACCATGGCGGTCAGCTGACTTCTGCGCCACTCAGCTGGAGCAAGCGGCGCAAATGGTCTCTCTCTCTCTTCTCCTCCTATTACCTTGCCCTCTCTCTCAGCTCTCATCCACCTCCTTCCTCTCTCTCCTCTCTCTCTTTCTCTTCTCCCCCTCCCGCCTCTCACTCTGTGTTTCTCTTCTCCTCCTCCTGCTACATCTCTCTCACTCTCTCTCTCGCTGTCCTCCACCTCATCTCTGCCTCCTCCAGTCTCCTCTCTGTGTCCTCTGCATCCACTCCACTTTCCTACTTTTGAATCCGGCACCCTTTCCTGACGTCAGAGACGCACTCTCGTCCAGGCCTTGCACTCTGGCAGTTCCCTCTGGGCGGCACTGTTGCCTCCCACCGTGGCACTTGGCCGACTTCTGCACCGCTCAGCCAGGCTGCCGCGCAGAATCAAGCGGTGCAAGCAGCTGTTTGGGCCCCGCGCTCCGCATGAAGCACCCCCATGCTGCATGGGGAGCACAGACCCCAAACGGCCTTTTGCGCTGCTTGCTCCTGTGCAGTGGCCCAGCTGAGTGGCGCAGAAGTCAGCCGAGTGCCACAGCGGGAGGCAACAGCGCCACCTAGAGGGAACAGCCAGCATTTCAGTGTTAGTCACAGACATTGGGCTACTATATATATGATAACATGACTTTAAAGGAATCTGTTAAGCAACTTAAATTTCTAAAATGTGATGTGCTTTACATTTCTGGAACTGGAGAGGAGTGTCCCTATATACTGCATTTTTTCCAAAATATTTGCCATCTTGATACTGAAAATTTCTTACCAAAGACATCACTCATAATGTAATTTACTGTACATACAGATTTTCTGAGGAAATATGGTGCACATCATCATAATAAGCATGCACAAACTACTTGTCAATTTACATGATAAGCTTGCTTAGAAATACAGGGGAGACAAACATAAATATCAAACAAAATATTGATGAGAACCCTTTTTCTTTACCTGGATGTATAGTGATTGGGCAGTTCCCAAAAGACTTGTTGTACTGCCATATTCCCCTCTTCCAGACCATCCAGGGAGTCTTTGGTCTCCACAGAAATAAGGAAACAATTATTCTGAAACAGCACTAGATTAATTACTCATGAAACCTCTTTCATGATATGAAATTCCAAACAGAGAAGGCAAGTTTATTTTAAGCCTTTAACAGACTGTTGCAGTTAATCAGATACATCAGGCAAGAGACTTGGTTGGTAAGAAAATCTTTAGTCTTTCTCTATGGGGTTTGTGTGTTATTGACAGAAAAAACATCAAATGATGTGAAGAGTATCTTGAACAGTGGAACTGTGAGTTAAATATTTTCTGTAAAATTTTTGAGTCTGTGCAAGTTTGGGACAAAAATAATGTGTTTGCTCTAAGTCTGAGACAAGGATGTTTCACTTTAGGAAGGCCACAGCCAGTGTAAGGCTCAAAAAACTCTTTGGCAAACAAAATGTAAGAACCATATCATTACCTTTGCGGGTCAAAGTGGATGAACTGTCTTTTACTGGACCAACTTTTGTTGAGGAGAAAGAAAAAGAGCTAAGTTCATAAAGAGATCTTCTTTAGGTCTGGGAAACACACTCTGAGCATCACAGTTAAATGCAAGTTGGAACAGATTGTTTAGCATAAGTAGTTAGCACATATTTTAATGGACCACTCCAGGTGCAAGGGCTCTGTGTGGCTCAAAACCTTGTCTTACTCACCAACCAAAGTCGGTCCACTAAAAAAAAATTACCTCACATACCTTGAATCTCTCATATCCTGGGACACAGCCAGGGTCAGCCTTACCCATAAAAGGCACCCAGAAATGTATGACACCACTGGTACTTAATGTCCACTCATCCTCCTCTTCTTGTCCCTGTTCTGTGTTTCTGCTTCCTCCAGAGAGGATCTAGTTAACTTACAAGTGAAAAAGCCTGCCAGACTTATTAGCAGAACACTGAACCTGTGAAAGTGTCTTTGAGTGATAACATTTAATATTTGCTTCGCCCAACTTATGTTAACTTTAATTCTTTCATTTTATACTCATACCACTGGAGTCATCTTGGACAAGTCATTCAACTCCACAATGCCTCAGCTTCCCACCTCTAAAATAGAGTAATTCCATTGGGTCACCCTTCATCTGCTTTGTCTATTTAGAGTATAAACTCTCTGGCACGAGGACTTTGTTGTAATGTCTATACACTGCCTAATAGTGGTTTTCAACCTTTTTTTTCATCTATGGACACTTAAAAAATTTCCAGTGGAGAGGTGGACCCCTTTAGAAATCTTTATTTAGTCTGGGGACTCCCAGTGTCCCTGAACCACAGGTTGAAAAACCAGTGATCTAACCCATTGGGACCCCAGGAGCCTCTATGCACAGCCCTAACACAAATAACTGCTATTCAATCATTTCCTCTTGCTGTGCTTGTGCTAGAGTTACTTTCTTGCCTGACCACATAGACAGAAGGCGGCACTATCAGCCTATCATGGCAATGCTACTCTCCCTCTCCTGGCTGAGAGCTTTTTCTAGTGTGTGAAGGTCTTTTCGCATGCATGTTTTGTCCTTGTCGTACTTTGCATCCAGAGAGAGTGAACATTAGCTTGGGAATGCTTACGGCTTCTACCGACCTCTGCAAGTTTGGCTTCTGTCCAGAAAGCAATAAATCTGGTCACGCTATTAATCTATGTATTTTTACATACTGTATGTAAAACTTGCATATCTGCCTATCCATTATTGTTGTTGTTAAGATGCTCATGTGGCCCCCATTGCTCCTATATCATAACACACAATAATCTTTAATGTGTGTATCCTCACATCACTCCAAGGGAAACTGAGGTGCAGTGATACTAAGGGCCACATCCTCAAAGTGTACATAGGCTCCT